CTCTTTCATTGTCAAATAGGATTTGCCAAACTTAAATAAGCTAAATGTTGAAATAACGGAAAATTTAATTTTTCCTATTAAAGAGTATATAAACCTGATTTTTGCATGGTTTGATTTCTAAAGACAAGTGGAATATCATTCTTTAAGCAAACATTATAAGGAGGAATATTAAAAAGAAATTTTATTTACTTGACAATTAAAGATTCTCTTTTCAAACACAATTTTAGCATTGAAAGACTACGCGAATCTCTTAATTATTTCATACGACTTTTTGTATTTTTCTGGTTACAGAAAATGTAAAAATTAGTTTCGCTGTAAAAAAAAATATCAAAGAGTGTATATTTTGTATCACTTTAAAGGGGGTCATTTTTCAATGGGGGTCATTATTTTATAGGACTTACGTATAAAATAATGACCTCCTAGGACCCTTTTTCTACAAAAAGATGATTTTTTTCTACGGGTGGGGGTCATTTTTTGTCGTTGAAAAATGACCCCCGGTCATTATTCGATGGGGGTCATTATTCGTCTTTACACCGCCATAACATATAATTACTACCAATCTACATGTATTAATCAGCCGTGTATTTTTGAAAAACTGGATATAGCTTTTTGAATTTTTTCCTGTTATCAAATATCATATGGGCCTTGTCCCTTTCCTCGAGCCACAAGTTATGATGATCAAAGGCAATAAATTCTAGTCTTTTTCGATGATTAATATACGTAAAATGCGTAAATGCATTGATTTCTCTTTTGATGAGCTATAAGAAACGTTATTAGAAAATTATCGCTCATTATGATAATTTATAATATATTTTTTGAAATATCAGAGAAAATATCCAGCTAGCGCAAAAAGTCGTGATAGCAAGACAAAAAGTTGTGGTTTTACTATCAAACTGTTACACTTATGAAATTGATTATATCTGTCAGTCGGATCATTTCCCCATTTTAATTTTTTTCGCAGTTAATTTTCTGAGTGATTCCATGTTGGATTGTCCTGTCGCTCAATCTTGATGGCAATTAAAAACTCTTATCTGTAAATAATACGGATGCTTTTGAAGTTCTTTGAACCTTAAGCTGCAAAGGATATTAAAAATCAGTGACCACACTTTTGAACCGAAATCCTTTGAATAAACAGAACATAAACTGCATTGACAAATGCAACAAGGCATATATTTGCCTTTCATGTTTTTGGAAATTTTCAGATAGATTCACAACATTATTGTCCCACATTTTCGCGAGAGGAAATAAAATCCCATTCGCCCGTCAGTGTGTCCGTTTGTAACAAAAATTTTAACCTTTGGTCATAACTTTTGAATGAGAAGAGATACATGTATGGCTTTCATATTTCACATGTACATTACTCCTGGCGATATCTTTCCGAATTTACTTTGATGTTTGACCATTTGGTTTTGACCTTGAAGTTTGACAATTAAAATACATGTATGCCAAAAATAATTGCATTCGAACCACAATCTCCGAGGACCATGGTTTTAACAAACTGGAATCTTCCCTATATATAGTAAAGACCTTACTTATACACATTTAGGTTTCTTACAGAGGTAATCATATTTTAATGCATTTTAAGCTGCGTATTGCCCGCTCAGTATCCCCCGCCTTCGCGAAAGCGAGGGAACATTAAATTTCATTCGACTGTCAGTCAGTAGTTCTGTTCGCCAATCACAAAAACTCTAACCCTGGTCATATCTTTTGAATAAGAAAAAAAAGGTTTTTCATATTACACATACATGTTACCTGTAAATATACAATAACAATGATTATTTTACCCCCTGACCTTGACCTTGAAGTTTGACCTACTTTTAGAAAGTTAAACATTACATTGAATTGGCCATAACTTTTGACTGAAAAAAGATAGCCTAGGGTTTACATATTAATCAAGTGTATTACCTGTGACAAAATCTTTCTAAATAGATTACACTTTTTTTTTTACCGCGTGACCTTTACCTCGAAGTTTGACCTACTTTTCAAAAACTTTAACCTAGCTCATAACTTTTGAACGAGAAGATATAGGGCCTTCATATTAAACCTGTAAATTGCTTGTGACAAGATTTTTCTAAATGCACTATGATTTTTGATTTTGTGACCTTGTCCTTGAAGTTTGACATAATTTCAAATAATGTTAATTTTTCCTTGTAACTTTTGATTGAGAAAAGATATAGCTTTCATAGTTTTTGAATTGGGCATTTCGTTTGACAAGATATTTCCGTGCATGCTGATTTATGACCCCTTGACCTATTTGAAATAATCAATTTCGGTGATTTTTTTTCTAAATGACATATGAAAGGGCGTTCATATTTGACACAATATGCCATAAAAATGACATTTAACCCACCGAAACATCGAAAGTGGGGGCAACAATTCTTCCTATTTGCCTGTTTTTTTTTTAAGAATCATTCTTACAATATACATATAACAGACCAGAAATATAAAACGTTAATGTTATTTAAATCTACAATATAAGCCAAGCAAATTTTTTTTTCACGGGACGTTAGTTGGAGGAGCCAAATGAATATAAGTAAAGTAATTGGGGAAAATTCAGACTTGAGCCTGAATGTGAGAAACTTCGTAAATCCAATAGAAGATCTAAGAAAAAAAGAACATCTAACTTATTCGTTTAGTAAACTAAAATAACTGATATCTATATTTGCACAAAAGTTCTATTTAAAAATTTAAAGAAAAAAATTATGCTGATTAATGTACCAGGTAAGTTCAAAATGATTACTTAAAAGACATGACAAGGAAAAAAAACGTCTAAATCCGACTGTAGTGTCACTTGTATTGATTAACATATTCCAAAGAGTTTTTAAAAAATCTTTTAGTTCTACATCCTTATAAATACAGGCAGTTTGATAAATAAAAAAAGGGATTGGAATTATCAGGAACGAACAAAAGCTCTCCGGTTTGTCGGTAGATGATTGAATTGTGGGTTCTTCACACAGTCTGCAAATCATCTCAAAATAATTAATACCCTTTTCATTATTCACCACTCCTGATTCAACTACAAAATTAGAAGTAAAAAATAAAAAAAAAAAATTTAAAAAAATAAAAAAATGAAAAAAGAACAAAAAATACAGACATGGATAGCGAAATGTTAGACACGTAATAAAGAATTCCGGAAACTGATGATAAAATCAAATCGAGGGCGATGGAAAGTGATCAAATACTGAATAAAACCGTCAAAGTTAACAATTCAAACGCCACTTCAGAAGAAAACGTGTCAGAGAGCATAGTGCCGCCAAGTCTTCAATATGGCTTCGGAGTTCTTGGAAACATCATGGCTATATTTTTTCTCTGTCGATCTGCCGGGGAACATAAATGGAAACCTTTCTACAGATTGGTGTGCGGGTTAGCCATTACAGACTTGTGTGGAATTGCCTTAGTCTACCCCGCGGTTATGTTGCGCTACATATCTGGATTTACTTACGAATTTCCTAAGCCCCTGTGTGAGTACTGTTCGTTCTGGTTCTCTTTTGCCTTCATGTCGTCAGCGCTGATCGTCAGTGCCATGTCTTTTGACCGTTTTCTGGCTGTTCGGTATCCATTATGGTACAGGAATTCCCAGGAAAAGAGAGCTAACACCATGCTTCTGGCGATATGGGCTTTCACCGCCACCGTGTCCTCTCTAAATCTTGTAGGCATTGGATCCGCCAGGAACTTTTACCCCGGGTCCTGGTGTTTTATAGACTTTGCTAACACGGGACTCAGGAAAGGATTAACACGTACATATATTCCATCATTGGCTTTGTTATTCTACTCATAACGTTTGTGCTAAACGTAGCTGTCACTTATTCCGTTTGTTGAAAGCCAGTTTTAACGACAGTTGGCAATAAGAGAAAAAGAAATGACATTTACATCATTGTTTTCCTGATGTTAATTTTTATGTTGGTGATATTCAATGTACGTCACAGGTTTCTTACTTGGTATCAAGGTTTGTATGTCGGTTATATTATGTGTATGTTACAGGTTCTTATGTTGATGTTAAGGTTTGTATGTCGGTTATATTCCTTGTATGTTACAAGTATGTTGATATTATAAGGTTTGTATGTTAATGTTAAGGTTTGTAGGTAGGTGATATTATGTGTATATTACAGGTTCGTATGTTGAGTTAAGATTTGTATGTCGGTTATATTACGTGTATGTTACAGGTTGGTATGTTGATTTTAAGGTCTGTGTGTCGGTTATATTACGTGTATGTTACAGGTACGTATGTTGACGAATGCCAGCGCCAGGAGTCCTAAGAATGGACCCGAGGAACTTCTGGCTGTTCGACTGACTATCAGTAACTCTATTGTGGACCCATGGATCTACATCATTCTACGCAGAGAAAATCTGGTCAAGATAGTGACTTTGATTCGTAGAATTAACAGTCGTAAACACAAGCAAGGAAACATCTTCAATATAGAAGCATGTGCTGGTGGGAATAAAATGAACATAAAAGAACACACCCCAGCTTCTAGCATTGCTACCTGTACAACAGGGCTATGAATACATTTAGCAAATAAGCGTTGTTTTTTTTTTACTATAGATGTCTTTTTACTTTTTTTCACCGCAATTGCTTTAGAAGTAAAAAGCCTGTTAAGTTGATTAAGAAATTATTCTAGATCAATATGAAAAGCACTATTTTTATAAACAAATAATGTAAATGAAAAAATAGAAATATTAAATTAATCATAATGAAAGTTAATTCGTTCAAAGTATAACCTATAGCAACTTTGTTTATATTTTTGAGTATCATCAATATCTTTTTAAATGATCAATATTTTCCCTGTATTTCAATATTTCCTGCGCCATCTTGGTGACTCATCTTTCATAACATAAATAGTCACATGTATCATTGCATTCAATTTTCAGCATACACGGATTAATAAAGAGATGTAGAGTTTGGGAAAAAAAATGATTTCTAATTTTATTTGCATGAACTATTTGCGAAATCTCTTCAAACCATCAGTCAGTTTAAGTACATATTTAATCGCAGAAACATCAAATTAATGACTTTTGATTTATTTTGCTTGTTTGATTTCTTCTCATGTGATTTAAATAGGGTTATATTCATTCACTAGAGTAACATGCCACAACTGCCAACAAAAGCAACAGTGCTGAAAATGTTTGGGAATGGATTGGTGTGGAACCTCCAGTGCCATCTGCAATTAAAACAAAAATAAAAATATTTATATAATTATCGCTTTAGGAATTTCACCTTTTTTAATGTTCCTTATAAAATGAATTTAGTTGGGGCAAATGTAATGCGATAGACGACGATATTTGCAGGAACTACAATATGTGTCAAAAAAAATATCGTTCTGTGTATAAGGCACAACATTTGGTATCTGTAATTTGCAAAAAGCTCCCAAAAGCCCCAGATAATTTTTTTTTTTGAAAAAAGATGTTTTTACCCTGATCATGATTTGATAAACATAAAAATCGATACACTATTGAGTATAAAAAAAGGATTGGATTAGAATGAATAATTTCAATAAATATTACTGTAGGACAAATTGTTTTTGCAATCAAAGTCAACGTATTATTCGACGATAAAAATTGCAAAGCGTAGACCTAAAACAAAATTGTTGGTATCTTTGTAGCATCAACTTCTCTGACAATATCTTTCCTTTCCGGTTTCGTCAAAGATGACTGATCATATACTATTAAAATGTTTGATTATCGAATACAAAACAATGTACATTGTATAAAAATTTTGAAAAAACATATAAATGATAGGGAAATTAAAGGAGAATGAATACATTTCATTACCTTGAGTTAACGTTGTCACTTGGACACTTTGAGTTGTTATACCAAACGGATCTGTTAAAGACAATTAATTAGCAAATCTTGTTAAAATCTTTAAACTTTCCAAAATCATTAAAACTTGACAAAACATTTTGAAAGTCTGACTTCAGCCACTGATGAGTGCTAACACACACACTCTTTCTCTCTATTTTAATTCACACATATTTCAAAACATTGATATCTTCAAATTTCAACATAGAAAAGGAACTCAGTTAAAAGTCGATGTACACTGTACTAGTTTGTATTCTTAGAATTTCCTGATTTTTATACCATGCATGTTTAGTCTATCTGCGCATCAAAAGGCATCTAAAAATTACTGTTACACTACTAAAATCTGTACGTGTTTTGAAAAAAAAACAACAACAAAAGAAGTATTCTCTAAAATTGTTGCTTTGAAAAAGTGGTATTTGCGATATAAAAGAAAACCCATAAATTTCTTTTTAAAATGATTTTAAAAAAAAAATCTGTGTGTAGGAGAAGTGGTTTTCGGGGGAGCTAAAACATAGTTACTGTAAACTGATTTCTTAAGCTACTGTATGACAACTCACCCCTAACAGTTATATTCTGGCTGATGGTCACCTTGTCCCCCTCTGTCTTATGGGAAATCTTACAAGAGTATGTTCCACTGTCAGCGACTCTTAGGTCTACGAAATTACAAAAAAAAAAATAATAATAAAAAATACAACTTGTATACATACAAATGTACTTCTCTAGTATATTTCAAGCTTTCCTTTTTTTCTTATTCCTGTAGCAGAAGATATTTATATTTCCGCAATTTATATTTTTTAAAAATAGATAGTTATTGGTTAATTATTTATTTTAAAAGAAAATCATCCACATTTCAAAAACAGAGGGATTGAGAACAGATGCAGATTTTTAAGGTTAAAATCAATGAAAAAAATTAATATTCGCCCACCTGGAAGTGTGAAATAATACGTCGTCCTATTCTGTACCGTAGCTTCGGCGCAGCTATGATTCCTGCCCGTCTGTACCGCTTGGTTGTTGTGACAATACGTAATACTGCCGAAATTCAAATACACATCCAGATCCGACAAACTGTCATTACCGGAAGCTTCCACATAACAGGAAGTGTTGTAGGTGTCGCCAGGAGCGTAAGGTGCTTCCGGTCCGTGGAAAACCAACGTAAAGGAGTAACTGAGCTTACCCACAACATCTGGAAACATAACTTACGGTGTATTACACGTCTATATTCTGGGTAAATAAAGAAGATTAAAATCGTAATAAACAAGAGGTACAGTTGTAAAATATTGTGAATACACTTACAAGTGCGTTGATCCAGTAACACTAAAAGACAGGCAGCATAATAATACCAGTCATAGTTCCTTAACATCGTCAGGGTTAGGTAGCTTGCCAAATTACTGGAAATGGAAAATCATGGATTGTGTATTAATGTTTTTTTTAGTTTGGAAAACAGGGCCCTAGCATCTTTTTTGAAAGATGGAGCCAGAGGAAGAAAGAAAGAAAAATTTGTCCGAAATATATAAATCCTATTTCGCTGGGGTAAGGGGCGGGTCTGGGGTTTAATTGTGGGTTCGAACTTCTTTAAGTACCCTTTTTTTCACACACAATCGGCCTTTCAATGTAAACAATTTCAATAGTAATAAAAAAGTTATGTTTAACTTGGAAAAAAAAACGGGGAGATACTATGTGCCTGCCAAAAAAAAAAAAAAAAAACTTTACCAGTGAAATAAATTATGTTTTCTTTACTTACTGTCGAATTACAACTGTTTACATGCATGTATGTGACAATTTTCCAGGTAAGATATAAATTTTTTTTTTAGACCTAAATGTTGAATAAACAAATTTAGATCGACAGGTGAGTGAGTTGCCTACCTTACTTTACCAATGGGTTAAATCTGGGCTATAAACACGTTCAGGTAATTTTTAACTAATGCACACACTCGAACTTAATTCAATGAATAACAGAACTTAGGATGTTTGGTACAAGGAAACTTAACACTAGCTGAATCAAATGATGATAACTAAACAATATTTTATGTTTTCAGACATTTTATAAAGTAGTATACTTACATTCAAAAGTTTAGGTCGGTGCTTTTGTTCAGGAGTGAGGAGCTGGAACCTTTAGTTGAAACCTGTCCTTCTTAGGTTACTTAAGGTCAGAGGTCAACAACTTTATCCAGACTGTATAACCCTAGAAATTGCATTGCACAATGGTTTTGACATGACATAAATACAAACTGCTGTAAATAGTCCAGTTGCGACCTCGAATAGCAAAAGGGTAACAAGGCGTTCGCCCCTCTTAAATTTTCACATTAAAAAAGTACCATTGTTTCTTCTTACTTTAAAGTAAATGAATGGTGAAGAAATTTATAAAAGGCTAAAATTGAAATGAGTTTGCGATGTTGAATAAGAGTGTTAAATGCTGATCGACTTTTTAAAAAAAATATTAATTGTTAGGCCATTATTTCCACAATGAGTTGTCCATGAATTTTTTTTCGATCATGACAAGGAGCCCATGGCGGTTGTGATGGGGATGTGCAGGGGATGCTCACTCTTCCATGACAGCTGATCCCACCACTGATGCTTTGGAGGTCCGTGTTTGCTCCGCTCCTATTTTGTATTGTTTTATATATTTTTGTGAAAACTGTTCGTTATCACCACATAATTTATGTAACTTGATTCTTTAGCTTTAAATAATTTTACAAATATTAGGTTCAAGAATATGTATTCAAAAGTTATAATTCTAGTCATCAAATAATATTAGCCTAAAACTTACAAGTACAACGGCGATGACGGCGATATCAAAATCTCTTGAAAGAATCAATACAGCTGACCCCCTTCCAAAGAATGATTTTGAAAAGTCCAAACCAAATTGCTTTGTATTAACTATAAAGTAAAGATATATGTTCTTTCCACAGGCACTTGTTTCATACAGTAAGCTTAGTTTTCTACTATATAATAACACAAGGTATCCATCTTTCTCGAGACCAAAAATGTAGGTCACCAATTCAAACTCCTTTTTTATGTATTATCTGCAGCTGGCCACAAAAACCCCACATGTAATGGTTAGCGGAGTCCCCCTTCTTGGACCTTATGTATATTTCCTTACCTCACCCCCTCGCGAACTTTGACACTGGCCATAAAATTACACGCTTCGTCAATCGAAAGAAAAAGTACATCTCTAAACAGCTCAGCACTTCTGGTTTGGCAACCGCGATATAATACACAAGATCTCATTGGCTACTGGTACATATTGCACTGGTGTAGAGAAGATCCTTAACAAAATAATTTTGCATAAATAATAACTATCAAATGTTCTTAAAAATTACCAAAACATTGTCATTTTACAAAAAATTTTGTCAGAAACTCAGAACAATATCGATTTTCAAATTTGCGCTAAAATAATATTTCGGTCTTCTCATGTGTCTTATACAATTGCATCGAAAACTCCCGAGAGTACCGTAACCAATGAGATCTTGTGTATTATATCGCGGTTGCCAAACCGGAAGTGCTGAGCTGTTTAGAGATGTACTTTTTCTTTCGATTGACGAAGCGTGTAATTTTATGGCCAGTGTCAAAGTTCGCGAGGGGGTGAGGTAAGGAAATATACATAAGGTCCAAGAAGGGGGACTCCGCTAACCATTACATGTGGGGTTTTTGTGGCCAGCTGCAGATAATACATAAAAAAGGAGTTTGAATTGGTGACCTACATTTTTGGTCTCGAGAAAGATGGATACCTTGTGTTATTATATAGTAGAAAACTAAGCTTACTGTATGAAACAAGCGCCTGTGGTTCTTTCAGCTGGTTTGGAATATCGATCAGGCCTGGGTTCCTGCAGTAGACATTTGACCCAATTTACCGACATCAAGAGAAGTCTAAATAGATCTAAATCTCTACATAAAAGATGATTTACCAAAGGGCGGGTATGTTAAGGAAGCATATTATATTAAGTCATTTTTCGGGAAATTCAAACTTTTTAAAGAAAATTTAGCTTGATAATTTACCAAAACCTCCGATAAGCGTAAACTATTATTATCTATTGCATAAAGATAAAAGAGTGTCTAACGCAACGACGTGCAACACCACCACGGCATCACGTGACTTCTATTAATAGCAAAATTTTCCTTAATAAAAAAGCGAACAGAACAACAATACCCCGGAGTTAAATAATTTTTTTGAGTAAATAATGTAGTTGAAAAGCATCTATTTTGCCTAAAAAGTGCTGCTAGAATCCCACTGTCCCGTCAGTAAAATAATTATTCCACACATTCGCACGAAACCTTACCCTATGTTTTGAATTTTTTACCTATGAACCGAGATTTTTCGTAAAACCATGCTTAACTCGGGATTCTAGCAGCACTTTCCAAGTATTTTAGGATGCAAATTTTCCATCTGTACAAATTTTATGTTTAGAAATATACAGCTTATTGTTGTTCTGTTCCATTATTTTTGTCAAAGGCCGACCGGGATACGTATATAGCTGTCTTCGAAAGAGAATATAATCTATAAATATAAATTAGCATACCTGTTTTATTATATTACTCCATATAAATTTCACAAAATATTCACGATATTTGCTTTTAAACTCAAATTTACGTATCTTTGATCATACCGTCATAGCCTAATTCTCTTTACACGACATGATCAATTTCCGATCAATTCCAAAGTTACTTGATGTACACATATGACGTCATCGGTGGTAGATTTTAATCAAAATGACAGAATACATCATAACAAAAAAAGAACATTTCATTTTTAGAGAGAAAACATTGATAGAAAATTAGAAATACAACGTAATTTGTTTTGATGATCTGCTTTATCGAAAAAAGATCTGCTATATCGAAAAAAGTGTATTTTCCCAAGGTTCTGTCAGCAAATTACCATTAATAATTCCTTCCATCGGATTTCATGTAATTCTTTAAAAACATATTTAAACACTGCACGTTAACAATTCATATTGACGTCGTTTTGACGTTACAACGTTGAGTAGCAATTCCTGACGTTATGTCAGTACTAGTATAAATATATTGACCTATGGAATAAGTAACGATACAAAACTTAATTTTATTCATCATTTAATTTATTGTGGAGACGTATTAGGATGACCAGCAACTTACTTGCACTAGTATTGTGAAATTCATATTCTGATCACAAAGTCCAAATAAACGGTATAAAATAGTAATTATTGCAAATAATTTCATTTATGTGACATGTTCTTGTTTTATTATGTTATTATATAACAATGTCTGTATTGTACTGTATTTATACTAAGCAGCTATTCGGTTCTTTTATTGAACTAATTTTACCCCTTTTCCTACATCTAAATATGGGTTCAACCAATCAGCAAAGCTCTTATCCATCACGTGATCATTATTGATCCGTTTACCAAAAGAGAAAGCATGGTTTATTGAACTGCTGAATTTTTCGAACCCACCATCCACCCCATCTGCCACCAATGCTTGTTATTTCTTTCAGGTTGACATTTTTGTTGCTATGATTTACCCATCTTTTTTGACAGTGTTTGAATGGGTTTAAAAGAGATTTATAGTACTTATTTTCTACCGCACGTTCTAACTGAACAAGTAAACTTTTTGTACATTGTTATAAATGGCAAATTCATGTATTAGGTTACTGAGATTGAGTCCGACATTTATTTTGTACCTCGCAATTTTGCTTCGGTGTGCAGTTTTCCATATGATTTTTCAACATAAAGCAGTGTTGCTTTTTATATATGGTTTTTCCTCGGCGGTGAAAGAAACATAGTTGTGTTCAATTTAATGCCTGCGCGATTATATGGTTATTGGCTGTTTGTTATTTTGTTTTCCCACCTTTTTTGATGACAGGCAGCAGTTTAGAGCATTTTGTATATGTCTTCCAAACTTATGATGTTTATAAGAGGGTCAACTTAAAATGCATGTATATTGTACCTTGTGAAAGATTACAGGGTTTGAATTATTATTCTAGTCTGGTTGACCCCCCTTTTGCCTATGTACATCATGTTACAATGTCATTATGGTGCTGGGGGTCAGATTGTGTAATATTTTGACTAAGATGTGTAATACTCTATATTTGAGTCCTCCTTTTTCTGACCCCCATTTTGTTAACTGTGTTTTACTTTTCCGTCATTTACTTTAATAAATGACATATTTCACTTCAGCATGATGTTACTTGTTTTTGCCTGTTTATCAAAAAACAAGCTCAGTCGTTTGGCAGGAGAACTAAGGAACATAAATAATTTTCGTGCAGCGACATTAACATGCAGCGACAATGTTCACCGCGAGTGAAAAAAATATAAGTACCTGTGTTTTTAGGAAATGCATGGTCAATAGGATTTCAGGCATAAAACAAAAATTTGATCACGGTAGGAAAACATCCCTATAATGAGGAAATAAGTGGGCGGGGGGGGGGGGGGTGGGGGGTGGTTACCTGCAATGTTCTTTCTATATTAGTCGCAAGCTATAGTATATGGCTCGAAATCTCAAGCATTTTTTTTAATTTCGAATTTTCTGAATTAAATTTCAAGACGCAAAATGTAAAACACTTGCATTTAGCTTTTACATGTTGAGCTTTTATCATAAAAAATATGTAGAAAAAAATTTTACTTGTAAATTGTTTACAGTGTTTTGTAAATCTTAAAATCCAGGTGTTTGAATAAAATGAATTTCACAATTTATTAGCAAGCAAAACAAGGCGAGTGCACGAGATTTGAATACGTAACACCCATTCAATATTAATAATGATAATTTTAAAGAAAACAGGAAAAATGCTTGTAATTAAATTTAACTCGATTTTAGTGATGAGGATTTATTTCCATCCTGAAAAGTATACGCATATTTTCGCCCCGGCTTTGATTTGAAGTCAAGTTCCCCTGAGTTTCAAATAACTTGCGCACATACAATCCCTCAAGTTTCTTGCTAAGCAATTTTGTATTCATGATAAATTTCTTTCTGCAAGCCATAACTTTTACGCTGATTTATTCTGATTGACTTTTAGCAGTTTAGATACGCTACAAATATAATTTATTACTTTCATTTGGTATTGTATTTAATTAGTCCTAAGACATTACCTATAATCACACCAGAATTCAGACTGAAATTTAATTATAAAACATGTACGAGGTTTACGTACAAAAGCATG